AAAAAAAAAAAAACGAGTGCGAATCCGAGCCCTCTCTTACAAACACACTTCGATGTAGAACTTATGCACCGCGGCTTTTCCCAACTGTGCATAGTTAAGAGATTCCTTTAAAAAAACCAACATCCCCTCCTTTCACTCTCCCACTCCCCTCCCCTCTCCCTTTCGGCTTTCCTCCCAGAATGTAGCCGAATGCCACGTAGTCGATTTTGCTCCTCCTTTCTCAGGAAAATGGGAAATGTTTTCTGTGACATCCTCGGATAAGGCAAGGATGGACAGATTCTCCATCATCTCCTCGGACAGGCAGTATAAAGTTCTCCTCCCTAAATCACACTTATAACTGAGAGGATTGCGAGAAGGTGCTCTTTTCAGCGACGTATTGTATTCGAACAAGGCAAATTGACCAGAGGCTACTCCCCCCTCCCCCTTGACCTCAAGTACTTTCACCTAGCAGCGTACTTAGAGAAGTTACGACTGGACGAAGCCTCTACCATTTCCCTCCACTCGGCCCCTCTTTCTCTGCCTCTCCTGGATGATGTGAGGTTGGAAAGGCAACTTTCTTTGAGTAACAATAGTTGAATATTAATGGTTTTAAATTCCCGAAAATTGTTCTGCAGCTGAAACGTAGGTTAAAGTAGGATGGTTTTTTTTTTTTTCAGGACAACCACTTTTTGATCTCTGACCTCCGCATTTTCACCGGTGTTGTCGAAATTTTTAACAATTGTTGTTTTAAAATTAACACTGACCCAAGCATTCTTTTTTTGACTTTTTTTCTCTTTTTTTTTGGAAATTGTATAGTTCAGTTTAAATTAGAAAAAAAAGGATTCACTTGAACTTTGTACAGAGTTACGTGAATGTCCGAAGTCTGGCGTCGGATAGAAGTGGACACGCTAATAATGTTAGCTGTATCAATGGCGAGAAGAAATATAATGAAAAGAGCGCAGCACCAGCTGCTGCCGCTGCTTAATGTAACGTTAACAGAAAGCGAAGCATGCGAATTTTAGAAGAAATTGGTCTAGCAAATGGCATATTTTACGTCAAAAAATCGCAAAATTTTTACGCCACACCACCACACTTTCCTTCGCAAAACCACATACACGTAAATTATTGCAAGCATGCAGAATCAGCTCATACAAAAAATGACAAGTTGCTTCGTTGAATCCTGGCATCTACTGCGATCATCGATATCCAGGAATGCAATGCAAACGACAATACGGTGGATAAATAACACATCAGGAACAGAAGAGAAAAGGTGAGGAAATATACAGGCATCCAGATGTGAGGTCAAATCCACCCTACCCAAAAGCAGATATCGATGTGCGAGGTCAAATTCTCCCTGCCAAAACCAATTTGGATTTCTACACCTCACATCTGATTTTGTTTACAAATCTTGTTGCATTCGGAAGTCTCTAACCTGAGTAATCGGCATACAAAGACTTGTACTTTTAAAATTTAAAAACTTTGATGCACTTAAACAAATTTTAATGAAGTTTTTTCAATATTACGAATATTCAAGGCGAAAATTATACATTCTCCTGTCGGAATTTTGAGTTTATTCGGTTAAATTTTACGCTTTTTGGTTCACTTTTGTTTCGTTCTCGGTCCAATTTTAAGTCGTTGAGTCAGTTTCAGGCATGTTTGTTCCCATTAAAAAAAAAACCGGCGAGTCAAGGAAGGATTGGAGAGAACATGTGAAAGTAAAGATTGGAGGAAACGAATGAAAAACAACGACACGTCATTTCCTCAGTCCGCCAAAATCATTCTCGCATAAAGGGGGAAAAGCATTACACAAAACCGAACGGAAGTAGAGACATACAGGCGAAGAAAGGGAGAAACGAGTGTTAGCACTCCCCTATGACGAAAGGCAAAATTCCCCCTCCTCCTCGCCCGCAATAAAAGAAAATCGGTTTGAAAACGCGAAATCGCAGTTGCATGCAAAAATTCGCGGGAAGGATTTTTGAATAAACCTGCCAATTTACCAATATGCCGGCGGATGAACATATGGAATAAGTAACGGCTAGCAAAAATGCCACAGCTATGAATACTGAAAGTCGCAACCTCATCCCACAGCGCTACAAACAAAAACTGACCAACGTCCAAGAAGTGATCAGTGTCCACAGAACGTATGGGCGGGACCACAAATCCGAAGAGGCGTGCAGCTTCATTCGGATAAGCGAAAGCGACTACTAAAGCTCTACTCAACTCGACCGGGCTTGGGAGGTACGCCCCAGTGACGAGGGCGGGGGAGGGAAGGGAACGGTGGAGAGGAGGGGAGGAGGGGGGAGGAAGGCAGGGAAGAGGTGAACAGGTAAGAGGTCGAAAAGGGAAGTGAGAAGAACCGGCTCAAATCTCGGAGCTGTGATGAAGAAGGGATGGAGTTACTGACTAGAAGGGAGCTCAAATCCAGCTTGGAGGTAGGAACCAAAAACAGAGGCGAAGTCTGCGGCGAAGAAAAGCTATTATGGGTTTTTTATGCCCAGCATGAAACTTGACTTTGACGCAACTAATACGCGTTTCAGGTGCCATCCAACTTGCACTGAGTTCCACGACGGCAACAAAAGGCTCCGCGGACGAACCCAGGGCGGAGGTGGTGGGGAGGAGGGCCCAGCGGCACAGGCACCAGTGCTGCAAAAGTCGGGGTCTAAAACTAAAACCTGAAATATCTCTAAACCAGAGGAACTTTGAGTAGCAGTTCTACAATACTATTTCTAGTTTTTGCATCGTTCCAGTGTGGGAGGGAACACTTCTCCCTGCCCTGTCACCCCATCCCCGAAGGAGTCTCACTCTCTCCCCTCCCTCCCCACAACCCCCGTTCTCCCAAGAGTCCGTCCTGGACTCGCCTATGAAAGGCAGTGAGGAGAGAGAGACGACAGCGCATACGTGAGTCGCAACAGAAGACAACTACCGCAGTACATGACAGCACTTAGGAAGCTAAAAAAAACCCCTAAAAACTCATGCCAGCTAAAAACCCATGATGAAACAATCGATTGCAGAAGCGAGACTTAACCAGCAATAAGGAACAAAATTGGACTATTATGAAAACTCCTCGTCCCACCCCACCTTCTTGGTTCGCAACCTCTAAAAATCTTGTCAACTACTGGGCTCCACACGACGGAATTAAGAGGCGAGGGTGCATGGAGAATCTTCATTTCGGATGGAGGAACAAAGGTAGGCGAGAGGGGAACGATTGGGAGTGATGATTTGGTCTCAAGTGGTTTAATAGGGCAAAAAGGGGCTCAGGAAGTGACTGGCAAGCAAAAAATTCTTTACACACTGCAACGCTACTTGTTTACGTGTTTCCACTATCACCATTTATTCCTCACCTCTGTCCCGCCCCCGTCCATGCTCCCGGAGCTGCATCTGAGACCTAACTCAGAGCTAACAATTAGAAACAGGAAGTGCAGGTGGATAAGGGTAATTTTATGGTTTTATGATGCTCAGCAAGAACTTGCCGCTTGGACAAAAAGTGGAAACGCAAAAAAAGTGCTAATAAATTTAAAGAAATCTTAAATTTAAAAGAAATTCTTGCAGCTAAAAATCTGACACCAAGCTAAAACTGAAGTTTGTGCGCGACACCCGAAATCTCAACTAGTCAAGAAACCTGGTACTTACAGACAATCGCGAATTTCGGCTCGTTCAGTAGTTGCCCCTGGTCACCAAGATTGCTCGAATAATCGGTAATGAAGTCATCAGAATGCACCTGCATGCCGTATTTACAGGCCTTTAGCTGGCACTTGCCGTTTTGGAAAAAAGCGAAAATGCAGGAAAAAATGTTAATAAAATTTGAGGAAATTTTACATTTAAGAGAAATTCTTGAAGCTTTTGCTCGTGAATTTTTTGGCAATCTTCCAATGCTGCGTGCAACCACACGTTTCGCACGTAAGGAATGCGTGTACTCGAGGTACTTTATAAAGAGTTTGCGCTATAATTCCAAATGCTGTGTTGATGTGACAACCGTCGGGAAAAACGTCGAAGCAAACGTAAAAACCGTAAGCACTTGAAGAGCAGATGCAATTTGAATTTGCAAAACTGAGTTATTTTTGTGAGGAAATGAATGAATATGCAAGAACCGCGGTAAGTTTTACTCCTGTGTATGAACTTCTGCATCTGAATCACGAAATCAGTGAGCTTCGTGAACTTGTCCAATGAAATCTGTCTGAATCCACACACTTTATATGGGTGCAAGAGAGAATCCAGCAACAGTTAGATTTTATGCAACGAAACGATTCTGCACTTCTTCGATTTTAAAATCCTGGAAAAATAACGGGCACCTCTCCCAAACTATAAGATTTTATGATTCCAGAAGGAACATTTAATGGTTAGAGGTTGATGATTTGACAAATGTAGAACTAAGTAATAGCTAAAACCAAGTTTTGTTGTTTCGACAAAATGCAACAACTGATCCCGTGTTTGAGACACAAATTCTTTCCGCAGTCACTGTGTACGAGGCAGAAGCAGCTTGAAATGCTTCTCGATGAGTCGGTGGCCCCTTCTTCCAGCGGTTTCTTTGAAGCAAGCTGATGGTGAGTACGACTTCAAGCTTAACCAAACTTTATGAGAAAAGCTATATCAAATTTTACGATTCTGGGCGCAGAATATTCTTCAGGTCCCACTTCCTCTCATTCCATGGACAAGAGGCAAGGGCCGAATCCAAATCGCTCGTTTTGAAGAATTTCGATCCAATAAGGACGAAGAATTCTGCATTCGTCGTGTAAGAAATCCGACGGTATTTTTAAACTTTTGGAGCAGTTTGAATCCGCAACGCCTCTCAGCAACTCCCCGGAAGAAACTAAACAACTCAAATGATCATTGAACGATTATATAAGAATAATCCAACTTTACGATGAACACATTTGCATAAACGCACTAATTTCGTTTTCCCCTTGAAAATTTGCATATTTTCCAGTTGCGAACTTGTCCCGTCTTGCAGTGATTACCTAGAAAGCAGAGTTCCTGGTGCGATTACATGTTCTGAGCTGAACCAAAGAAATCTAGATCAATAACAGTATGAGTGGTTGTTGCTTCACAATTTAGCATGTGCAGTCATGCTGGCTGTGTCATTTCTGTATGCAGCAGTTTAATGTCCAAGCTGAATTTAGACCACGCATGGATATAATATATTCGTAAATTTTCAGCTACATAACTTGTACAGTATCTGAAATCGCCAAAAATTTCTCATACGCGCCCAAACTTGTGGCACAATTGCAATTCGAAACTCCATTTAGGTACACAAGTCACCAAGTGGGCGACAAACATTCCGGCAAAATCAGAGTCGTTGTTTTCTAACGTTTTCGAGCTGGCACATTGCCAACTGGGGACTCTGATGTGAGTGCACATGTAGTCCAAGTGTTTGCGATAAATGCATTTAAAATCTCTAACTCACATGTACACAGAGAACATCCCTGCAGAACTTCAGCCTTCCACCTCGCCTAATTCCCGAAATCGTTCTGGCCAACCAAAAAAATTGCATTTTCTCATTCAGGCACTCATGTGTGAGACTTTGGTTTATGGCTCACATCGGCACTACCTTTCCGTTCTAAAACGTAGTTTTAAAACGAAAAGGTAGTACCCGACGTGAGTAATATGCCTCCAAAATTTTAACTTCCTATCTTTTCTAGCTGCTGAGTTGAAAGTGGGTGACAAAGCTCTCTCGCCTCCGAACACACACAAACACACATACTTCACGCGGACGCACACACACACGCGCACGCAACCGAGTGTAACCACACACACATACACACGTATACGTACATCCAATTTCTTTACTGTGTTTCTGCTGTATTGCATTAGTGACACAAAACGCATAAGAATCGCATGATCCGTAACGATAATTTCCCATGTTCTTTCAAATTTTCTGGGATTCTTTTCGGACAATAATCAAGACGATACATGATTTTTTACAAAAGACAAATTGGAGTGATTTCGGCTCTCGAAAAAATCAGCGACACATGGAAATTTCTGCAGATGCACTGCTTGCGTGATGGTTGCAAAGTACACAAAATGTCTGAGTCAGTGAAAAGACTGTATTTCGGTCCTGATCTTTTTGATTTTGGCTGTTTGCCCAGGCAACATTTTCTTCCTGATGTACCTCTCAGATTCACCAGCCCAGCCGAACGCAGCAATTAGAAGACGTGTAGCCTGAAGCTGCTTAGCGTATTTCTCGTCAAAATTACAACCCAAGTATAAGTGACCATTGAGAAAACCACTCTGACTTACATGTACTTTAAGTGTCACACGTAAAACATGACGATAACGGATCAAAAACCAACGCCGTCAAAGAATTTTCCTTACTTTTTTTTTTAATTTCAAGGGCCTTTTTGATTTACCAAATTTACTGTGATGCTGTTATGCTACGAAATATGCAAAAAAAAAAAAAAATTGTAAAGACTCGTCGAAACTGACATTATTTTTATTTCTGCCTCAAACGATACTTAATTTCGTTGGCATGTTCATTTCTGTGAGGCATAAGTTTCACGTTTTTGCTAGTTAATTACGAGTAATGGAGACTTTTAGTTTTTAAAATTACATGAGAAAGCTTCAAAATTCAGATTTCCACTGTCCATCACCGGGCTTCAAATTTAAACACTGAGTTGCGGTAGATATATTTCGAATTTATGTCTCGCCAGTTCACTGAGAGAAGCTTCAAAATTAGCGCACAACAGGAAGATAAACTGTTAAAACTTCGAATCTTTAGCACATTTTATTAAAATTAACTGACAAATTTGTGGATGAATGATGAAATTGGACATGTGCCAAAAAACGACACAAAACTGTAGAAATTAATTGTTCGCCTATCAACTTCGAATAGTCAAAAGTTTAAAACTCAGCTGGGAAGCTGTAAAAAATCACAAGGAAAAAAAAGACGAAAAGAGGAATGTATTTTCGGAAAAGAGATTTTTGATGTCTTTTTTTTCCACTTTTTTTTTTTATTTTCGAATTTGCAGTGTGTTCAGAATTAGCTAAAACTGTGCAATGCCTGTTTTGCGTAGAAAATACAGTGGACTATACGTAAAAGAGCTACGGGTTTCGCATCGTTAGAGTGCGCAGAGTTATTCCTCGCACAAGAAACAGGTCCTCTTCTCCGCATGAATTTTATATATATATACATATACAGATGAGCGAGTTTTGCTGCATTTCGGTGAAAATTTTTGCTGCGCACAAATGTAGCATGTGAGCAAAAAAAAAGAAATACGAATAATACGTGAACCGTGAATGCACTGTTGAGCATGCTGTAGTTCTGGATGCAAAAATAACCCGAAATTTATTATAAAAAAAGTTTTTTTTTTTTTTTTTT